AATGGCCTGGGGGAGGGATTAGGTACGGGGGGATGATCGTACATGGAATTGTACGGGTGATCCTACGGGTTATCACCATCGGCACTTCCCTCACCACGGCTCACAACATTAAAACACACAACACACACACATACACATACACATACACATACACACACATACACATACACATACACATACACGTACCTGTCTGACCCGGTGCCGCTGAGTTTGGTGACGCAGATGCTGAGGGGGAACACGTAGCGGTCCTGGAGGGGTTTGTGGAGGGGGAGGGGGTATTGGGGGAGGAGGAGGGGGTATTGGGGGGGGGTAAATGTGGGACCTCCTCACAAAGCTCTTTCACGCACGACTCGACATACTCACACAACTAACCATAACCCGCTGGGCTGTCGAACTGCCCGGTGCCCGGTGCCCCTTTCGCGACCCATGGGACCCCCTTCAGTCACTTCGACAGCAGGGTGTGACTCCGAAACCACCGCCTCCCCGCCACACGCACCACCCGCCCAAACCCCAACGCAGTTTTCTCCCCCACAAATTTCCTTTCCTAATCCCGTCCTATAAACTCGTACTTTCGTACTCTCGTATTCTCGTACGCTCGTACGCACCTTGTGAAGGCCCACCACTTCCCGTACGGTATCCAGTATGTGTGTCTCCCCGGTCGCCACATATCTGGCCATGTAGCCGCTGTGCCGCTGAGAGAAGGGTGGCGGCATCAGCAGACTGATATTGGCACCCTCCAAGTCTAGGGCGGGGTAGCCGAAGAGAGACTGTACGGCCTGTACGACGGGTGTGACAATTGTTTATGGAGGTGTCAAGGGAGGGGTTCCCAAGGAGGGGAAGGGGGCTCCAGCTCAAAACCGGGAACCCTTTGCACTCACGATCACTTGGTGCCCACACGTACATACACACATACATACATACACATTTTATACATACATACACACATAAATACACATTTTATACGTACATACACACACCTGGCTGACCATCATGATGGTGCCCTCCGCATTCACAACCACGATGGCGTCCTCCAGCGTCAAGGAGGCGAACACCTCAGGCCGCTCGGACGACCCCCCCGCCTGAAGACTGGTCAAGTCCAGGGAGAGCAGTGCGCCGGCGCCGCCGTTGCGATTGGCCTCGCCGTACACTCGAGCTGCCGCCGCAGGGTCATGCCGTACATCCTCGAGGAACTTGCCGTAGCAGCGGAGCAATTTGCCGTTGGTGGGATAGCGCTCCAAGACCCTTTGCTCAGTTTGGCGGTGGGGGGGGGGGGGAGGCCGTGGTAACTGATGCGTGATGGGTGATGGGTGATGGGTGATGGGTGATGGGTGATGGGTGATGGGTGATGGGTGATGGGTGATGGGTGATGGGTGATGGGTGATGGGTGATGGGTGATGGGTGATGGGTGATGGGTGATGGGTGATGGGTGATGGGTGATGGGTGATGGGTGATGGGTGATGGGTGATGGGTGATGGGTGATGGGTGATGGGTGATGGGTGATGGGTGATGGGTGATGGGTGATGGGTGATGGGTGATGGGTGATGGAAGGGGTTTCCAGTGCTGCTTCCTCCTTCTCCTCCTCCTCCCGAGCACTAACACGTCACCAAGAGACAAGCCGTCATGACATTACTAGACTCCTGCCCACCCGCCGTCGGCGCCCCTCTCCCTCGCCACCCCAAACACAGGCGTCCGAATCGCGTCATTACTAGGGTTGGGTTAGCCTTTAAAGCTAATTATTATATGTAAATCAATCTAATTAGGAGAGGCTAGATTTTCGTTTAAAGTGGTGGCTACTCTTCAAATACTACATGGTTTGACCAGAATATAATATATATTATAAATGTAATACATATTTATACATTATATATTATCATTTATTATAATATACATAATATATTAATGTAATACAAACTCTTCAATTTTGGGGACAGAAAAGCGTTACGCATGGAAGAAAGGCCCCGCGAGCCGTCCCCTGTGCACGGTGCCCTGGTCCACCAAGGATCACCAAGGGGCTCCCTTTCTCGGAGTTGTGCGCCTGGAAGCGCTCCTTGGCGCCACCGACGACGGGTTGGTGCCGCTGAACGTCTTGCCGCAGCGCTCACACTCGATTTTGAAACCCTAAGTTGCCCGACAGCAACACTTCCCAGCAGAGCGCTTACTTCTTCTGCCTGAGGTTCCTCAGCTTCTCATAGAGAATTTCTTGCCACCATACGTATATTCCACTTCGACCCCCTTTACTGTCTTTTCCTCAGCAGCAGTTTGCTGACTTGTGCGCAAGGAGCGAATGGATCAGCCAGTGATAGGGCTGGAAGGGTGGAAACACCTACGGAGTGTCCTCGCCCACACACCCTCCAGCACACCCCAGCAGGGGCCCCCTTCCCCCCTTCCCCCCTTTTCTCCCCTCCCCCAGGGGCAAGGCCCCACCCCACCCTCAGACGCACCTCCGATACACCTGGTGTGCCCGGCTGGTTGCGCCCTCCAGCGCGTCCATGGCGGTGTCCACCTCCGCCACCCCCAGCCGAGGTCGCATGCACAGCTTCCAGAGCTCCACCTGCCGGCATAAGGCCTCCTTGTGAACACGGAGTACGGCCCTGGAGGACGTAAGTCGGGGTGGGGGCCCCCAGGGGGAGAAGGGGGGGAAGGTGTGTAATCAGGCAACATGAAAAACCCCACACCGCTACCACGCACAGCTACCACGCATACACAATATGATACCCTTCTAAACTTCTTCTCCCTCAACCACTACTACCCACTACCACCCACTACCACTACCACTACCCACTGCCTCACAAACACGCGCACCTGTAATTCCTCTTGAACTCTATGTAAGCCTGGAGGTCCATTCCGCACTCCTGGCTGTCCTTGAGCCGCTTACTGGCCTCGTGGGTGCAAAACACCTTGGGGGGGGAGAAAAGAGGGAAAGGGGAGGTGTCATATGATGCAAACCAAGAGGAAGCTGCTCCTGGCAACACGTCCAGACGTTGGGGCTGGAGAGGGGAAGGTGTACGTGGGAAAGACGAACCACGAAGGAGTGACGCTGCTGCGATGGAAAGAGTGTACAAGAAGCAGGACTTAGGCAGCCAACACCGGCGGAGGGGAGAGAGGGGGCCCGGCGCGTTAAGAACGTCTCCCGCAGGAGACCCTAAGTCCTCCTAACCCACTCCCCCCTCCACACACACATACTTCTTGCCTTATCCTCCTCCCCTTGCCCGGGGGCCCCCTCCTTCCCCCTCACCACTCCTTCCCCCCCACCACTCCTTCCCCCTCACCACTCCTTCCCCCTCACCACTCCTTCCCCCTCACCACTCCTTCCCCCTCAGCACTCCTTCCCCCTCACCACTCCTTCCCGC